CTCTCTCTCTCTCTCTCTCTCTCCTCTCCCTCTCTCTCTCTCTCTCCCTCTCTCCCTCTCTCTCTGTGGCCCTTTCTCCACTCCCACTAGTCAGTGTACTGCTTGGACTGTTGTGTCGTCTGCTGCTCGTCTCCATGTGTGTGTGTGCGTGCGTGCGTGTGCGTGCGTGCGTGCATGCGTGCGTGCGTGCGTGTGCGTGCATGCGTGTCCATGCCTGAGCGTGCGTGCGTGCGCGCGCGTGCGTGCGTGCGTGTGCGTGCGTGCGCGTGCGTGTCCGTGCGTGCGTGCGTGTCCGTGTGTGTCCGTGCGTGCGTGTGCATGCGTGTCCATGCGTGCGTGTGCGTGCGTGTCCGTGCGTGCGTGCGTGTCCGTGCGTGCGTGTTCGTGCGTGCGTGTATGTGCGTGTGCGTGCGTGTGCGTGCGTGCGTGTGCGTGCGTGTGCGTGCGTGCGTGCGTGTCCGTGCCTGCGTGTTCGTACGTGTGCGTGCGTGTGCGTGCGTGCGTGTCCGTGCGTGCGTGTGCGTGCGTGTGCGTACGTGCGTGCGTGCGCGCGCGTGCGTGCGTGCGCGTGCGTGTCTGTGCGTGCGTGCGTGCATGCGTGCGTGTCCGTGCCTGCGTGTTCGTACGCGTGCGTGCGTGTTCGTACGCGTGTGTGCGTGCGTGCGTGTCCGTGCGTGCGCGCGTGTGCGTTTATCTTAGCCGCGTTTCTGTGTGCCCCAGGGTCTCGTGGAGGCAGCGACGAGGAGCAACATCCCCAGTCAGTTGTCGCCCCTGGCTGGCTCCGGTGGTGGTAAGGTAGGCATCGTCGCTGCATCGAGATTCCTCGCCAGGTGTCGCACCCTGTCGCGCGTCGCCGCGGCGACGGTCGTCCGCCGGTTTCCCTACTTGCACCGCCGCTGTCGCCGTAGCAACGGTTATCCTACTGGCGCCGGTTTCCTTACCTGCGCCGTCGCCGTGGCAACGGGTTCGCACGCACGCCCCCGCGCTTGCACTTGTCCGTGTTTCTGTGTTTTATAGTCTGTCGAGCGTCATCTAGCGAGTGTCGTCTGCTTTTGTTGTTTGTGCTTGTTGTCTAGTGCTTGTTGTCTAGTGCTTGTGTTTATAGTCACGTGTCTAGTTCGTGCGTAGATAGCAGTACGGCGTACGCGTCCTTCCCCCTCTCTCTGTCACCTGGACCATCTCTTCTCTACCTCTCTCTCGTCTCAGACCTTTCCATCTTCCTCCTCCTCCTGCCTCGTTCCTCCTCTCTCTCTCCCTTCCGTCCTCCTCTTCTCCCCCCGTCCAGATCTCTCGTTCCTCCTCCTCTCCCCTCTCTCTTTCTCTCCGCCTCCTCCTCTCTCTCCCCGCTCCCCCTCTCTACCTCGTCCTCGCTCTCCCTGCTCCTCGCTCTCTTTCCGCTCTCTCTCCTCGCTCTCTTTCTCTCTCTCTCCTCTCCTCTTCTCTGCTCCTTCCCTCCCTCTCTCTCTCTCTCGCTCTCTTTGTTTAGATTTTGCCTACTAACTTTTGTTAGATGCAATGTTATGCTATGAGCGTTCGCTCTCCGTCATCCCGTTTTCATCACTTCACACAGTGTGCTGTGCGTGCGTGCGTGCGTGCGTGCGTTCGTGCGTGCGTGCGTGCGTATGTGAGCGTGCATGCATATGTGAGCGTGCATGCATCTATGCGTGCGTGCGTGCGTGCGTATGTGAGCGTGCATGCATCTATGCGTGCGTGTGTGCGTATGTGAGCGTGCATGCATCTATGCGTGCGTGCGTGGTGCGTATGTGAGCCGTGCATGCATCCTATGCGTGCGTGCGTCGTGCGTATGTGACGTCGCATAGCATCTAAATGCGTGCGTGCGCTGCGTGCGTATGTGATGCGTCCTCGTGGCGTCCGTAATATGCATGCGTGTGGTGCGTGCGTGCGTCGTGTGTGTGTTGCGTGGCGTGCGCGTGCGTCGCGTGCGGCGTCGCCGTGCGTGCGTCGTGCGTTGTGCCGGTGCGTGGGTGTGGTGCGTGTGTGCGTCGCGCGTGCGTGTGTATAGCTGCGGTGCGCTGCCGTAGCGTGCATGCGTGTGGTGTGCATGTGTTGTGGCGTGTGTGCGTGCGCGTGCGTGTGTCATGTGCGTGGTGCGTGCGTCTGCGTGTGCGCTGTGCATGCTGCGTGCGGGGCGGCGTGCGGCAGTGCGTGCGTGCGTGTATAAGTGATGTCTGGTATGACATGGCTGTCTCTATGTGCGACGCTGCTAAACAGTCTGTCGGAGCACAGGGGCGTCTGCCCGATTTGACACCATCGCGCGACGAGCCCTCGAGGAATCACGCCGTCTCCTTAGCATCTCGTCACGAACCGTTCGTTATCAGAGGGCGCATCTGGTGTGGTTGGTGATAGAATGATGATGATAATGATGCATGATGGTGTTGTGATGAGATCTGATGATGATGATGATGATGTTGGTGGCGCTGATTTTTTGAATGATGAATGTTGTGGGGTTAATGATGATGATGATGATGATGATATTGTTCATTGTTGGTGTTGATAGATGGTAATCGATGATGATCCCTCTTCCCCCTCACTAGCATTTCTAAGTTACCTCTACATGACCTCTTGAGTGACCTTTACATGACCTCCTGACTGACCACTGCATGACCGCTCTCTATCTCTCTCTCTCTCTCTGTCTCTCTATCCATGCAGACGTGGACGGTCTCATCGGTCAGTCTCTGCTGACCGGTAACCTGGAGGCGGCCGTCGACCTGTGTCTCCGTGACGACCGCGTAGCAGACGCCATCGTGCTGGCGATCGCTGGCGGGCA